TATGTTATACATATATATATATATATATATATATGTCTGCTTGGGAAAAGATTATAGCAGGCCCAGTGATTATCATTTTAAGGTAACTGTTGCTCATTGCTCTAGTTCACTATTGTATTTGAGGCCAGTATGGGCTATGTGGCAAGTTTAAGGCCAATGTAGGCTACACAGAGGACAATCAACAGAGACCTTTACTCACATGCAATGTGCTCCTGTCCCTGTTTGCAGCTGCTGTAGCACTTCTCCAGCTGCATGACCCCCGTAATGTCCCTGAAAAATGCCCCCAATGGACGGTCCTCCCAACAATATTGCAGATGCATTTGTAATAATATAAATAACTGAAATGGAGGTCTATGTATTTAACAGATCACTTCTTCCATCTGAAATAAGTTTGAGGACTCTTTTTTTTAATAAATAGTTTACTGAGAATTTCATATATGCATATAAGATGTTTTGATCAAATTCATGCCCACTCCTTCCCCTCTAACTCCTCCCATATCTCCCCATCACTTTTTTTCTGATAAGTTCATGTTCTCTTTCTTCTTCTTTGATTTATTTATTTATTTTTACAGGGCTTTTGGCTACTGTAACATTCTGCCCCCCCTCCCAAAGAGGTAGCCCTAAAATCTTTTAAGGAATAGGAATACTTTCAACATATTTGGCCTTTGGAACAGAGAATGTTGCTAAGAGGCCCAGAGCAGTCTGTGACCTGATTCCCTATCCTCAAGTTGGGTAACCCCTTCAGAGGATGGTGTGATAAGAATAGGAGGTAGGAATTGTCTAGGCAGTTAGGGTAAAAAGACCCCAAAGAAAAATAGCCGGTTTCTTAGCTAAAACTCAAAATGTCCTTGGGCCTGTTACAGGGTGAAGCAACTGGAGTACCCCTTCAGTGGGTCTATCTAAAAGACTCCCAAATTGTATAACTCTTATCTCTAAGGGGAAAAGAAAGTCCTTGAATCATGAATAGGAGATGTGAAGGAGAAGTAAAGGCAAGAGTCATTAGCATTGCAAGTTCTAGCCAGAGAGCTAGAAAAAGGTCAGAAAGGGGCAATTTTCAAATGTTCATATGAATCCACTGGAATTTCTTGACAAGGGCTTCCAAAAGCATCCCTCTTAGTAAGGCAGGCTGGAAAATGGAGATTGAGTACTAGCCTTCTTCTATAGCTAGTGTGAACAAGAATGGCAAGCCACTCATTCACAGCAAGAAATCCTGCCGTGTATGAAGGATTCAGAAGTTTTTGTGTGAAACATCAAGTCAGTCAACAAGTAGGAC